ATGATCTCATGGCTCATGGGGTCAAGCCCCAAGTCAAGCTCCGTGCTGACAGCTCAGAGCCTGCAACCTGCTTTGGATTCTGTGTCTCCTCTCTCTGCCCCTTCCCTGCTCATGCTCTCTCCCTCTCTCTCCTTCTCAAAAATAAATTAACACTTAAAAAAAAAAAACCCACCACTCTCAAGGAAACCACGAAAAAGGCACATATTCCTTTTTTATATAGCTATATTTTTAATCATTTTCAAATCTCAAATATATAGAAAATTTCCAAGAATAGAACAAAAATCTCCAAATACTCTTTACCCCGAGACCCCGTTCAACCTTCACCACACATCCTCTCAGCCTCTGGCAGCACCAGCATGGCGCCCCCATGTCACACAGCTCCCTCGGCTCTCTCAGTCTTTCTTGCCTCTCATGGCCTTTGACTTTTTGAAGATTACAGGGCACTCATTCTGCATAATGTCCTTCAACTGGAGTATGTGCAATATTTTCTCGTGACACAACCCAGGTCATTAGGGGCTTGGCAGGAATATTGTAGAAGAGATACTCTGCTCTTTCCAATGCATCTTATTCGGGGGACACGCTATATCAATTTGTCCCATTAATGATGGTATAATTTTGATTATTTGATTAAGATAGAGTCTGCTGAGTTCCTTCACCATAAATTTCTTTTCCCTCTCTTTGTAATAAATACATATTTTAGGTGGAGACACCTTAAAGGCTATATGAGCATCTCATTTCTAGTCCTACTAATACCCTCGAGTTTTAACATCCACTGATATTTCTTGCCAGAATTAAATATTTCTATGATGATTTCCAAATTGCAATTTTCCAATTCCAGTATTCCTATTATAGTAGTTAATTGGCATTCTATCATAAGGAAGAACTTTCTCATCTTCCCATATACTTGTTAATATATTTATTACTATCAACATGGACCCATCGATTCCTGTTTCAATCAATGGATTATAACTTAACACTGTCATGATTTATTTTGACACTCAAGTTGTCTCCTCTTTGACTATTGAGAACCCCTGCAAATGACTTCTGGGTCCTTTTAACATGTCCCTCTCATTCTCTGACCATTATCTGAGCTCTTCACAATATGATGTTCCAGATTTGTCTAACACTTTCCAGTCCTGGAATCAGCCAATTTTCCAAAAAGCCTTGGTAGCTTTTCATGGATAGTTGTATTAGAAACTAAGATCTAGGCACTAGGTGTGGCCACTGCTACTGAGTATCTTGTCATTCCCAGGCTATCTTGGTGGAAAGAGGTAGGAATTATATGTATGTATAGGCATACATACATATATACACACAGGTGTACATCTTTATATCTATAATTTCTGTCTCTGTCTCTACAAAATTTGTACTCATATCTCCACTTCCAGTCCAACACTACAGGGTTTATTTGAGCTTTCCTTCTTTCCCTGTTGCTATTTCTTCTTACCAGAAAAAATCTTGACTCCCTAATATAGTTGCCTGCTTGCTCAATCCCTTGTATGTAGCCACTGCTGTGACAACACAGGGCTGTCATTGTCATAAGGGTCAATGTGACAGCCCCACTGGGTCTGCCCCATGACTTTTGGACAGAATTGGGAAGGAAGGACAAAGGAAGGGAGGGATGGAGGAAGGAAGGAAGGGAGGGAGGAAAGAAGGAAAGTGGGTGCTCTTTTTAAAATGTGGTATAATTAACATATAGTAAAATGCACAGATCTTAAATATTTAATTGGATGAGTTTTTAAATTCATTTAACAAATTATTTTTTAAATTAAAGTATAGCTGACACACAATGTTCAATTAATTTCAAGTGTACAGCAGAGTGACCTGACAACTGCATACATTGTGCTCTGCTCACTACAACTATAGCTACCATCTGTCACTATACAGCGCTATCACAACACCACTGACTATGTTCCCAATGCTGTCTCTTTCATCCCCGTGTCTTATTCATTCCATGACTGGAAGCTTGTACCTCCCACTCCCCTTCACCCATTTTGTCCACCCCCCTCCTCCCCCACCTTCTTTCCCTCTGGCAGCCATCAGCTTGTTCTCTGTATTTATGAGTCTGTTTCTGCTTTTTATCTATTTGTTTGCTGATTTTTTAAAATATTTTTTATTTGTTTTTGAGAGGCAGAGGGAGACAGAGCATGAGCGGTGGAGGGGCAGAGAGAGAGGGAGACACAGAATCCGAAGCAGGCTCCAGGCTCTGAGCTGTCAGCACAGAGCCTGATGCGGGGCTCAAACTCGTGAACTGTAAGATCATGACCTGAGCTGAAGTTGGACTCTTAACAGACTGAGGCACCCAGGCGCCCTATGTTCATTTTTTTTTTTTGAGGTGGGGGGGAGAGAGAGAGAAGTTGGGCTCATCTGAAGTAAGGCTCGTGCTCATAAACCGTGAGATCATGGCTTGAGCCAAAGTCAAATACTTAACTGACAGAGGCGCCCAGGCGCCCCATGTTTGTTCATTAGTTTTAATTAAATGAGTCTTGGGGCACCTGGGTGGCTCAGTTGGCTGGGCATCTGACTTCTGTTCAGGGCATGATCTCGAGGGTTTGTGGGTTCAGCCCCACATCTGGCTCTGTGCTGACAGCTCGGAGACCGGAGCCTGCTTCAGATTCTATGTCTCCTTCTTTCTCTGCCCCTGCCCTGCTCACACTCTGTCTCACTCTCTCAAAAATAAATAAACGTTAAAAAATGAGTCTTGGGGCGCCTGGGTGGCTCAGTCGGTTAAGCGTCCAACTTCGGCTCAGGTCATGATCTCACGGTTCATGGGTTCGAGCCCCGCATAGGACTCTGTGCTGACAGCTAGCTCACAGCCTGGAGCCTGCTTCAGATTCTGTGTCTCCCTCTCTCTCTGACCCTCCCCTGCTCACACTGTCTCTCTCTATCAGAAATAAACATTCAAAAAAATTTTTTTAATAAATAAAAATAAAAATAAAAAATGAGTCTTGATAATTGCATATACCTTAGTAACAGCCACCTTAAAAAAAAAATAAAGAACATTCCTTTCCCTCCAGAAAGTCCCCTCAGGTGAGGGTGCGCATCCATGATCAAATATCATTAAAAACCCCTCTTCCGTCACTGCTCCTCTCAATGTCGACCACCCCACTTGCATCTGTTGCCAAAAATGCTTTCCTCTCAGTTTCACCTTCTCAAATTTTTTTTCGTGGAGCCCAACCCATTTGGTTTCTCTCTCTCTTTTTTTCCATTTTCCTCAGGTCTTTATTATGTAGAACAACTCGGCCCTGCCTTCTTCAGTTTCTGCCTTCCCCACCCATGGAGGGAACTCTCCAGGACAAAATAGAGCCTGTGAATGATCTAGATAACAAGACTCCTTCCTCTTCTAAGGAGGGTGTGTGTGCAAGTGCCTGCTCAAGTGCTCACGGGAGGATTGTGATTTAATAATAAAGAGGAAGGACTACCGTTATTTCATATTAGTGGCAGTATACCTTTCCTCCTGTCATGGAATACAATGTTTGTTAGAAGCATAGTTTAAGAATCACTGCCTGACAAGAACAGTTCTTCAGCTGATGTGTGTCAAGCAACGTTAGACCTGTGGATATAAACAAAGACCCTCCAAATGAGAAGCAGCAAAGGCAATTTACTCAGATGGGAGTCTGCCATCATCATTTAAGTTTGCAGGGACTCAAAGTCGAGGAAGTGGTCAAACTTGATAGTGTTCAAAAAGGGCGAATTTCAAGTATTGACTGATGGGAGGTTGTTGGTGTTGACAGGGACAATGGGGGTGGGCTGACTAGAAGCGGGCATCCTATGTGATTGATTAAAGAACATATTTGGCTTTCTTCAGTTTGTCCTAAGTTGGGCCATTGCTATGGAGGTTGTGATTTGGCTTGCTGGTTGGTTGTTACAGAAATTATGGATCAAAGTTTTTTTTTTTTAATTTTTTTTTTTTAAAGAGAAAGCGAGAGAGCAGATGAGGGGCAGAGAGAGGGGGAGAGAAAGAATCCAAAGCAGGCTCTAAGCTGTCAGCACAGAGCCCGATGTGGGGTTGAACCCACAAACCATGAGATCATAACCTAAGTGAAAGTCAGAATCTCAAGCTACTGAGCCACCCAGGTGCCCCAAAGATCTATTTTTATATATTTTCTGGCCATTGTCCACTTGTCTATAGTCCCTTAAAACAAAGGATGCATGAGAGAACTAAGAAATCATGGCTGGTCATCTCTGAACCCTCCAAGCAACGTCATCTGCATTGGCCATTTTCTCTTATTACTCACCTTCTTTTTTTCTCTGATTCCCGACTTGTAACTTCACGGCAACTTTCCAATCCCTAAACCAGATGTATAAATCTTCCAGGACAGAGTTAAGAGGTATTGAGAATGACAAACAGTGTTGATTTGATGTGAGGAGATTAAGGCGTTAAGGATCACTTTAAGGTTGTACCTGGAGCTCCCAGGATGCTCTTCTTACTAACTGCAGGTAAAACAGGAATCTGGAAGAAATTATCTTTTTTTGTGTGTGAGAAAAGATGCTGAACTCGATTTTTTAGGTATTATATAGTTCTAGATGCCTCCCTAAGGATGTTCGTTAGAATCACACATCTGGAAATGGGAATATCATTTCAGAGGTGTGGAGACCGAAACCAGACATGGTCCTAGGTTTTTATGTCAAGGCTGTGGGGGAAGCAGGTGTTCCGTCTTCTGGTGCTCCACCCACCAAGGGCACAAAACGAAGGACGGACAATGGGAAGGTTGGAATAGAGGTTGGACAACTGGGAATCACCAGGATTCTGTCGGAGGCAATAACAGACCGCGTTGTGCCATTAAAATAAATGTTACGAAGATGGAAACCATTTGCCAAAGATTTCACAACAGACCCACAGAAATGGAAGTAAATGATTAAAGAATGTAGGTCTCAGAGTTCCTTTCGAATTGTGATATTTTACCTTCTATTTACAGAGATAAAAGTACACAGAAAAAAGGTTAATATTTAAACACTTTTACAATTGCAACCCTCTTTTTAGTAGAGAAAACCACTGTGGTAGTGTCCGTGTGAGTCATCCACAATGATTTCCCTGGTGCTTGTCTTGTTCTCGAGTTTTCTCTGCCATGTTGCAACTGCAGGCCGGAGTAAGTACTCTTTGCTTTTGCAAATATAATTAATATATCTACCCCTCCACCCCCCACCCCAGTACATGACAGGGATCGGTAATGTTATTTTAAATTCTCTTTAGGGTGGGTGCTAGGGAGACTGGATTGATACTGATTCTTCAATATTACCACACTTAAAGCTCCTCCTTGAGATATTCAGCCATGTGAAGCCTCGATGTATTGACCTGTAAAATGGGATAACGATAGTACCCTTCAAAGGCTTGTTGAGGAGATTCAATGAGATAGCACATATATGAAGTATTTGGTATAGAGCTTGGCATAGATGTTATTGGCAGCCTAAGTAGCTTTTTCATTTATGTGCTAGCTGAGCTTAAAAATGCAAATATAGATTTTTTAACTAACCACTTTTTGCTCTATTTCAGCCTGTCCCAAACCAGATGATTTACCATTTGCTATAGTTGTTCCATTAAAAGCATCCTATGACCCAGGGGAGGAGATAATGTATTCTTGCCAGCCGGGCTACACGTCCCGGGGTGGGATAAGGCGGTTTATATGCCCTCTCACGGGAATTTGGCCAGTCAACACCTTGATGTGTAAACGTAAGTCAGTACCTTCTCTCACATGCTCTCCTCTCATTGGGATTCTGGTTTGGGGGGATAACCTACCTCATCATGCTCAGGGCACAGTGGGCCAGCAGAGCTGAGGAGTGGAGGGCTGTGAAGAAACAAGAGGGCCTGGGGAGGGCGTCCATGGGAGGAGAAACCAAAGGCAATGGGTGCTATTTAGAGAAGAGGAGGTGAGCATAGCCTGGAGCTAGAAGAGATGTAAAAAGAGACCTGCTGGGGCGCCCCGGTGGCTCAGTCAGTTGAGCATCTGACTTTGGCTCAGGTCATGGGCTCAAGCCCTGTGTCCACTGATGGTGTGGAGTCTCCTTGGGATTCTCTCTTTCCTTCACTCTCTGCCTCTCCCCTGCTTGCACACACACTCTCCCTCTCTCAAAATAAATAAACTTTTTAAAAATCTTTAAAAAAAAAAAAGAGACATGCTATGATAAAAGAGGGGGAAACACTGCAAAAGTGAAAAAGAAGTGCAGATCCTCTGAAATTTAGATAGATGTCAAAGGAACTCGAAGAAGTAAAACAAGAGGAGTCATGAGATCTTTGAACTTTGCCTCAAAATGAAAGCAGATTTAATATTACAATATTTTATAATAAATACAATTATATAAATCAAATATGATTATATAACCATAATTTATAATAAATTGTAATATTTTTATGTAAACATAATATGAAAATTTAAGTATAAACTTATTACTGTTGCCTTATGGAAGATGATTGCGTTTCTTTATTTCTTAGAACATGGCTCTGTGATTTATGCCAGCAATACTTTTTATAGTCAAATATTGAGCAATCAACCCAATAGAATTTCTGGCAATTTTATATAGAAATTAAGTAGTAAAAATAACTATATGGACCTGTCTGAGCTCTGGTTATTTGGTCATATGAACATGATCTTTGTAAAAATTCGTACATTTCATACAAGTGATTTTAGCATACTTTTTAAATTTTAAAAACATTTTTAAAATGGCTGTTTATTTTGAGAGAGAGAGAGAGCATAAGCAGAAAGGGACAGAGAGAAGGAGAGAGAGAATCCCAAGGAGTCTCCATGCTGTTAGCACGAGCCTGATGTGGGGCTCGATCTCATAAACCATGACATCATGACCTGAGCCAAAATCCAGAGTCGAACGCTTAACTGACTGAGCCAACCAGGTGCCCCAATTTTACTATCTTTTTGATTGAAAAAGGACTACACATGATTTTTAATGAAAAACAGACATAACATTATAAGGGAAATGTTTTCTTTAAATCAGCCATAACCCTGGAATAGGAATGATTTCATTTTTTTCCAAGTTGCATTCCACGTATATATTTTTGCATCACTGCAGAGAGTAGGTACCATTTGTATTTTTCTATTTTCATCAGCAAAGCATGAACATTGACCACGTCTCTCTCCATGGTCTTTGTAATTCATATTTTGTTGGCTAATTTACCATGATTAATCAAGTCCATCATCTGATGGTAAACATTTAGAATGTCTACTTTTTGTTAGTTGAGGTAACAGTGTGATGAGCTCCCTTGTGCATTTATCATTGGACTAATTTTGAGTAATTTTCTTAGAATAGTTACCAGCAGAGTTATTGGATCAAAGAACAGAAATGAGTTTACACTTTTTAAAATGTTTTTTAAAAATTTTATTTCTGAGAGAGATAGAGACAGTGTAAGCAGGGAAGGGTCAGAGAGAGAGGGAGAGGGACACACAGAATCAGAAGACAGGCTCCAAGCTCTGAGCTAGCTGTCAGCACAGAGCCCAAGGCCGGGCTCCAACCCACAAACTGTGAGATCATGACCTGAGCCAAAGTCGGATGCTTAATCGACTGAGCCACCCAGGTGCCCCTACATGTTTTTATTTTAATGAAAAATTCTATAAATTAAAATTTACTTTTCTATCTTTAAATTATAGCCAGAGTGTGTCCTTTCGCTGGAATCTTAGAAAATGGAGCTGTACGCTACACAACTTTTGAATATCCCAACACCATCAGTTTTTCTTGTAACACCGGGTAAGGACTTCTAGCTAACAGATGTAGAAGAATATTCTATGCCCTTCAGCTAAACATCAAGACATATTTTATTTTTAACCATCAGGCTGGAGTTACTGAATACAAATTGATTTTAGTCCTGCTTTTAATCTATACTACAGCAGTATTGGGATGGGGTAAGGGGTGGAGACTATATCAACTAGTAAGAATATGAAGTCACTACTGTATCAAACTGTATCCTTCTCCTGATTAATTACTTATCCGAGAAGGTACACTGGAATGATTAAAAGTGGATAATTCTTTATAATCTCTAGGACAAATCTTGGCATGAGGGTTAAATAAAATACATTAGGATTTGGACTTGGGCTTTACTTATGAACCTGATTTGATTGACTGACTTGAGAGTCTCTAGAAGGTTCTTTGGAGAAGGTTGAGAGCATGATGATGTAGAACATAGTTCTGCCAATCGTCACATGATACAGTACAGGATCCTCAGCAAGAAAGCACATACTGTCAGTCACATAGCTCATTTGCCTTGTGAGCCAAGACACCACTAATGACATTGTTAATAGCATGTTGTTTGTACAGTAGGGCAAAATTTTAGTGAGGGTTCTTGTCTGGGATTGGAAATTATGAAATACTATGTGGGAAAGAGAAATGGACTCCTTTCATCTGAAACACCAATTAACTGTGGGTCTGATGAAAAAAAGACCTTGAAACAATTGGTTTTGAGGAGACAACGCTGTATTTTCAGTGGAAAGGTACTGCGTTGTTTTCACCCGTTTGCGTCAGTAGAGTGAATAGTTTCAGGTGAATAGTAGCCATAACTCAGTCTGATTCACTTTTGTGATCCTGATGAAGAAATGGTCCTTTGCTCCATGTAAGAAGCACTTAACTTGGCCTGCTGATGGGAAAAGAGGGATTTAGGGATTTGGCTTTTACAAGTACAGCTATGAAGCACCCTCGTTCCTCAGTGGGTCCCCTGCAGCCCTGAGGTGGGAGATTGGATGAGCCTCCAGTGTGAGTGCTGAAGGGAAACCATCAGTAGCATTAATCTGAAGCAGTGCTCAGTGGAGAAGACATTTGAGATGCCATCGACGGATTATTTTACTGCTTGATGGGTTACATGTTTCTTTTGCAGGTTTTATCTGAGTGGACCTAGTTCTGCTAAATGCACTGAGGAGGGAAAATGGAGTGTTGAGCTTCCTGTCTGTGCTCGTGAGTCTGTGCCCCCCCCCCCCATTATGGAGAGAGTGATTAGCTGGTTTGCCTTGGGACTTGGCTGGTTTTAACACTGTGTGTTCCAATCCCTGGAAATCCCTCATCCTGGCTCCACTGGATGGCCACTCACCCTCATGGGGAGTGTTCATCCTGATAATCCTCTTATCCTGGAAGACGTAACAACCCCTTTGGATTGACAAAAGGGGAACATTCTAGTCGTGAACACATTTGTATCCCCCACCTGGTAGAACCAGTGATACCTGAGTTTACTCATTCTGTCCCTTTCATGATGGCTTGGCAAGGGCATGGATTAGAGTGGCATCAGTCCATCAGGGACTGCCACGATTGGACTAGAAGAACTGGAAACAGTGAGATCAAACATCTTTCTCCCACTCTGGAACCTCATCCATTAATTTATTCATTCACCCCTTTATGTATTCCATAACCGTGTGGTGGGGAGCTGCTATGTGCCATATCCTGTTCTCAGCACTGAGGCTACACGGCTAAATATACACTTAGCAAGTGTGTCTAGTGATCAGGGAGAGAGGGAAGTAACCTTAGCAGGGAGCTTAGACTCCATCAAAGGGTCTTGGATCATAGGAATGGAGTGGGACCCCTCCAAAAAACACTACTCGTTTTATTCAGGGGACACTCAGTGGTGCAGTCAGGGTCAGCTCTGGGCATGGCTTACATGAGGAGGGATGTTCTGATGTTCCCTAACTCGTGATTCATAGGAGTCCAATATTTGACCAGGAGGCCCAAGCATTACAATAATCGTTATGGCTCTTTAACATTCCAGAGAGGTCCGTCCTAACAAAAGCCAGTGAAAGAGTAAAGCGATTTCAAATAAATGATCGTTTAAGAAAAGCTGAACTACCAAAAAAAGTTTTTTTTAAGGATAAATTAAGTAGAGCTTTTTACTCAGTGGTAAGAATCACCATAGTTCTTTTTAAAAAAACTTATTTAAAATGTTTTTATTTATTTTTGAGAGAGAGAATGTGAGCGGGGGAAGGAGTAGAGAGAAGGAGAGACACAGTATCCAAAGCTGGCTCCAGGCTGTCAGCACAGAGCCTGATGTGGGACTCAAACTCATGAACTGTGAGACCATGACCTGAGCCGATATCAGATGCTTAACTGACTGAGCCACACAGGTGCCCCAGAATCACCATGATTCTTATAGTCCCCCTTGTAAGCAGATTTATATTGATTATGTAAAGTCACTTTTTCTTCTTGGTTGCAATCAGGAAGTCTACTTTAGCTTCAGCCTAATGTAAATGAGCACTTCTCACACTTCAGTGTATGCTTGAATCACCTGGACATCTTGTTAAAATGCAGATTCTGATTCATGGATCTGGGGTCAGGTCTGAGCTTCTGGAGTTCTAAGAAGTTTCTAGGCAAAGCCTATGCTGCTGGTTCATGGATCACTCTTTGAGCAGCAGGGAACTAGATAATTCAAGTTAAATCACATCCTGGTCTGTGCCAAATTCCTTATGTGAGTATAACTTTCCCCGGACTTATTGAAACCCCACAATAAGTCAGGATGACAGCCTGTATTGTGTCTCCACGTAAAACTACTTAAGTAAGCTCCATACATACAAGGGCAAAGGTAGGAGATATTCAGAAAGAACAAACGAACATGAGCTAGCAGTGAGACATAGATGCCACAACTGACTTTGTATTGAGTGCAATCATCAGCAGTGAATGCAGGACTGCCCTCTACCGATTCTGACTTCCAGAAACATCTTCCAAGGCAGCATTTGGATCATAGCCTTATGGAAACCTATGCATTGTGTTATTGTAACAGACAATATTGACAACACTTGGATTTACTTCATTTTTTAGTTTTTTGACTGGTTCAGACATCTGATTTTCAGATCATATTTTCTCTTTTGACTTCTACAATTGACTATTTTTACCCTAGCATTTGATCAAAGTTTGCATTTTCTCGTATTAATCTTTGAGAGTTTTTTGGTTTGTTTGTTTGTTTTTTTCTGTTCTGGAAAGAGTATCTTTAAAAGACTCAACTGTTTTCATTAAAGTGATTGTTCCTTCTTTTTCCAGCTGTAATCTGCCCTCCACCAGCCATACCTAAGTTTGCAACACTTAGTGTTTATAAGCCATCGATTGGAAACAACTCCATCTCGGGAAACAAGGCCGTCTTTGAGTGCTTGCCACACTACGCCATGTTTGGAAATGATACCGTTACCTGCACAGCACACGGAAATTGGACTACATTACCAGAATGCAGAGGTAGGTGCGATGACAAGACAAAATTAGCATGATGGTGTAGAATCCCATTTTTGAAAGTGTAGAAAATTTCATGATGATTGAGTATTTCCAATGGCCTTGCCCAAGAAATGTTTATTGGCATCCACCATGTGCATGAGTGTTAGGGATACCAGATGAATGAAACCTGACTTCTGACATCAGGAGAATTATATATGATGCAATGAACTGTCTGGAGCCATGTGGGAGAGCTTCCCAGAGAAGGGGAGAATGAAGGCAAGGCACCCCACACAGGGCACAGGATGTGGAAAGTCAGGGAGGTGTAAGACAACAGAGTGTGTGCATGAAAGCTGAATATCATGGTGAGGTTGGTCAAGAGAAGCCAGCATTCTACTCGGGAGTCCTGGGAGATGAAGGTGAAAAACTGGGCTGTAGTCAGATAGCTACAAGCTTTTATGGTGTACCTAAATTTAAGAACCACAAGACTATTTGATTTAAAAAATATGAAAATTCTTACCCTTTGAATTGCTGTCCTTGAATTTGTCAACTGCCGACCAAGAAGACAAATTATAGAGTTTATCATGCACACCAGGAGTTATACTGAGGACTGCTACTTTCCCCTATGGTAGACATTGTAGACATTTCTTGAATGATTCAAAACATAGGTGCTTTTTATCATGAGGGAAATACTACTACTAACACCTAACACCTTTTGTGGGATGTAAACTCTGGGCCAGATACTGTTCTCATGTTGTACATGTGTCATCTCATTTCATTCTCCCTAATCCTAAGCACTAGGTTCTTTTTATTTTCTTCTTCAACCTTTCACTTAGATATATCAACTGTCAGCATGTTGTGACTTTCTCTTTCTCCTTCTGTTTTTCTGTAGACAGATGCTTTTTCTTCCTGAACCATTTGAAAATAAAGTGACACATCATGACACTTACCCATAAATGCTTCATCATGAGTGTCCTAAGAACAAGAACATTGTCACTGTCAGCAAGACGTTTAACATGTTTTCAATTATTAACAATAATAACTCAGGCTATTATAATTATATAAACAACAACATTTATTTCTTTTGCAAATTTCCCCAACTGATCTGGAAGTGTCCTTTATCCATGTGTTTCGTTTTACATGGGATCTCACCAAGAACCACACATGTGGTTTAGCCCCCTTCAGTTAAGAATGATTGCTTGCCTTTTTAATTGTGTTTCCTAGACATTTTTGAAGAGTACAGGCTAGTTATGTTGTAGAATGTTCTACACTTGATTTTAGCCGAAAGGCCGAGAAGCGATTGTTGTAGAATGTTCTATAATCTGAATCTTGTTGATTCTTTATTCATGATTAGCTTCAAGTTAAATGATTTTGTTAAGAATACATTCCATCAGGGGCGCCTGCATGGCTCAGTCAGTTAAGTGTCCGACTTCAGCTCAGGTCATGATCTCATGGTTCATGGGTTCGAGCCCCATGTTGGGCTCTGTGCTGACAGCTCAGAGCCTAAAGCCTGCTTCAGATTCTGTGTCTCTGCTTCTCTCTGCCCCTCCCCACTTCAAGCTCTGTCTCTCTCTCTCTCTCTTTCAAAAATAAACATTAAAAAAAAAAATACCTTCCATCACATCAGGAGGCATCACTGGTCCTGCTTAGTTTGATCCCTTGGTCAGGTGGGCTGTGCCAAATCCTCTCTGGTAAACGCATCTTTTCCTCTTTGAAATTAGTAAGCACACAGTGGTTGATTCATTGAGATTGCGTGAATATCTACTCTCTAGTAGGCATTTTAGCAACCTTTGATGATCCTCGACTTAGCCAATTATGACATTGATGGTTGCAAACTGGCATTTTCTATTTCAATCTTTTCTTCTATTTTTAATTAGCTTGTATTCTTCTATAGAGAAGAGCTTTGGTTTTCTTCCTTGGGATGTCTTTTTTTGTATTTTTTGTTTCTTTTGCTTTTTTGTTTTTTTAGTATTATTATAGACTCAGACTCAGGTCCAGGAAGTGGCACCATGTTTCTCCTTCATATTTCATGCTGGTTTCTTGTATAGACTGAAGACTTTCATAAGAATTAGATTTAACATTTGAAACCCAATAATGGTGTGCTAGTATGCTTGGAGGGAGTCTTTGTGTTTTAATTTCATGGTTTGTTGATTAAAAGAGAGCCTCTTTTTTTTTTCTTTATTCAAACCCACCCTCTTAGAGTGCATGGAGATGAAATATGGAATAAATAATACCTTGTGATTGTATAAGATCTCAAAGAACTTGGTAGCTCATTGATTTGCTTTCAAAGTATTGTTGTTTCTTTTTGAATATCTAGGGGCCTGTGAGCATAAGATAAGAGGGACAGAATTAAATGTGTAGAAACTGTATTCCATCTGCAGGGGCACCCAGTGACTCAATGGGGGTATTGGAGCCTGGAATGTAACTATTTCATAACTGACAGCTCTACTATTTATACTAACATATTTTACTGAATACACTTTTTAGAAGTAAAATGCCCATTCCCATCAAGACCAGACAATGGGTTTGTGAACCATCCTGCAAAAGAAACACTTTATTACAAGGATAAAGCCACATATGGCTGCCATGACTCGTACGTCTTGGATGGCCCACAAGAAGTAGAATGTAACAAATTTGGAAACTGGTCAGCACAACCAAGTTGTAAAGGTATGAAATACGGGTATGGTCTTAACACAACTTGGGTTTATCCAGTGGACTGCCCTCATTTGCCATTTTCTTGTTCCAATCATTTTCTACTTGTTGCTCAGGCTTGCTTCATGGTTATTGGTATGTGAAGGACTTTAGGACTCACATATACATGGGGGAGCTTCGTGCTTAGCACCCTTGTTTGAGATGAAACTGGAGCAGATAAACAGATCCTTTGGGGACATTGATAATATGGTGGAAGACTGCATGGGTTTCCTATACTTGTTTTCCCACGCGCATCCTCTTCTGCTTTGTTCGAGTGCAGATTCTTCTCGTTGTTGCAAAAACCAACCACACATTAAAAGCTATTTCAAGCAAGTGGAGGTTTATCACATATGAGCAACAGACAATCCCATGGACATTGAAGGCGAGGACATGAAATACAACTGGTCCTCCTGAGGACTGGAACAAAAAATCAGGCCCTACTGCTGCTCTTTCCATATCTCAGCAGCCTTGTGGTCTCACTCATCTTGATGTGTCCCTGCTTAGTCACCTCAAACCCGGCTGCCTCTGGTGGACTTCTCAACCGAAGGACATATCGCTCACTGGTATCTTTTCCTGGAAACACTAGTTCTTTTTGAGTTAGGTGTCTATTATTGATCCTGTGTCACAACCTGGCACTATATTTCTGCTCAGTTTTCTGCAGAGCTGGGGAGTTTAAACAAAGAAGGAAATTAGGCACAGCAGGCAAAATGATGTACAATTAGTGTCTTGGGTTGGAGTTCCCTGAAGCAGAGCCCAAGGCAGGGATGCGAGTGTAGATGATGTATTCAGTGAGTGTCTCAAGAGAGAGTGAGGCATGTAGGATTGAGTAGGGCACTGCTTCTCAAACCTCACTGTCCCCCAGAGCCCCTAGACAGCTTGGTTAAGAGTTTCTGATTCAGTAGATCTGGGATAGGACCTGAGAATTTGCATTTCTACCAAGTTCCCAAGCGCTGCTGCTGCTGCCGATCCAGGGACGAAGTTTTTAACAAACACATGGTCTCAACTGGCGTCTAGTTTCAGTTTCATGCTCTTGGGAGCTACTGGACCATGAATTCTACCCCCACAGTTGATCCCACCAAAAAGCGTGGGGACCTGATTTTTGTATCCCCCTTGTTAGTCGTCATTGGCTAAAGGCTGTTCCCTTGGTGTGAGGGCTGATTTGCTCCCAGGAGCCTTAAGGCTGAGGGCAATTTTTCAGAGAAAGGAGCATCTGTGAGCTGTTATCAGTCAACCCTCACAGTAGCTGATGGATGGCTGCCCTAACTCAATAAATGGATCTAAGTGGGGCTGTGGAGGCTTATATGAAATGGCAGCATCTGGTAGAAGTCCTAAAATCTGATGCTTCTGCTATGACCTACTTATGTGGCTCCTGCAGGGGGGAGAAAAGTCCATCTTGGATACCACAACTAATGGTTCTGTTAATAAAGAACTGCTCCTAGCAATGACACTGACATACTCCCTAGGAACATTCTTGGAATCTTCTGGTCTTGAGCGATTTGTCTCAGTTGTGCTCATCTGTTGTTTCACATGCTACATTGTCCCAAAGAAGGACTAACTGAACTCCTAAGTCTTGATGACGAGTATGATCTCTTTCAGCCTCTTGTAAATTATCTGTTAAAAAAGCCACTGTACTATACGAAGGAGAGAGAGTAAAGCTTCAAGAAAAATTTAAGGATGGAATGCCACATGGTGTAAAGGTTTCTTTCTTCTGCAAAAATAAAGAAAAGAAATGTAGCTACACAGAAGATGCTCAGTGCATAGATGGCACCATTGAGATCCCCAAATGCTTCAAGGGTAAGTCTAACACTGGTACTTTCAGCTGGGATTCCACTTGATCTTCACCATAATAAGTACTTGTTTTACGTAATGATTACAAGGTGCCATGTCAGTTTGGCCACTGGATTTCTTTTTTTTTTTTTTTAAATGTTTTTTTTATTTATTTCTAGGAGACAGAGAGAGACAGTGTGAGCAGGGGAGGGTCAGAGAGAGAGGGAGTCACAGACTGAAACAAGCTCCAGGCTCTGAGCTGGCAGTCAGCACNGGGAGTCACAGACTGAAACAAGCTCCAGGCTCTGAGCTGGCAGTCAGCACAGAGCCCGATGCGGGGCTTGAACCCACGAACCGCGAGATCATGACCTAAGCGAAAGTCGGACGCTTAACCGACTAAGCCACCCAGGCGCCCCGCCACTGGATTTCTAAAATGAAAGTAGGGGCAGGAGGAAAGAGCGAGATGAAGTGATAAACTGACCCTTTCCTCCACTGTGTTAACATTTTCCTTGCCAATTCTTTTCCTTACAATTCAGGGTTGCAGTTTTATTCAATGGATGTTGAGATGAATTATGCCATCTTGTATAATTCCAGATTAAGCTAGAATCATAACAATAATATTGAATAATAATATTTACCCCTTCTGTTCCCCAAATACAGAGAACTCACCCCAGTTACAAAGTAACTAATTGGTGTCTAGATCTTCTAATACTTTTTCCCTTTCTTCAGCAATTTCCAGAGTTTGAAAAGTATCCGTTAGAGCAAAATATTTTAAGGAAGATGAGATTATCTTTGTGTGAGATAAAGAAATATGTAATGAGCAGTGTTTAGAACTGCCAACCTTTACAATCTTCAGGGTTAGGGTTTAAATATGTCTGTCACTGTGAAGGAAGAAGAATGAGCCAGAGGCCGAAGCTATTATTTGCTCTAAATTTAGAAGTGCTCCAAGAATGTTGACAGCCCTATACTGGGCAGGGAGGTTAGAGAAGAGAGGGTTTTGAGAAGTGACCAGCTAGAGATGGAGAAGGGAATGATAACTAGTAAGCCATACCCACTTCATAGGTTTGATTATCAGAAATATCCAAGCCATGGAGTAAGCACTCTAACAGTGATAGTTATAATCATAAATAGTTAGGAATGCACTGGATAAATTGCTGTTTTTTAAAATATAGCAGAGCCCTGGTGAGATGTGAAATACTGAAATTGACAAAGGACATTAAGCCTAGTACAAATCAGTACACAAAATATTACAAGAGAATAATTTTAAAAAACAACAACAATCAAACAGCGCTTTGTTGATGTATTTCTTCAGGCTATTGTCTCTTACGGTCTTCAGACAGATGCAGTACTGTTAGTGCATGGGAGAATAAATAAAAGGCTGATACAATGTTTTTTTTCTTTTTCTTTTAATCTTGACTGTCAGAGTTATACAGAACCTTTTATTTTCTCTCTTGGAAATGGTGCCTTATCATTTCCGTGATGTTTTCGCCTATCACTTAAACCTTACACTAAAGGGTTTTATTCATATAATTAATTTTTCCCCCACATGTTTGTAAAATGTATTTGATTCGATTTAGCTACTTAACAGATTTAAGAAATGATTGTTTCTCTTAGAATCTTTATCTTTTTATCCCCAAACAGAACACAGCTCTCTGGCTTTCTGGAAAACTGATGCATCAGATGTGAAGCCATGCTAAACTGGTTTACAGAGTCAAAATGAAATGCTACACTTAACATCGGTGTTTGTCCTAGGAACATAACAGAAGTAGGAAAATAAAGTGACTGAATTGATTGCCTCTGTCACTGCAGTGTGGTGGCTTGCTTTTACTTATGTTAGGTGGTTAAGAAATGGCTGAGAAATGGAAAAGCGTACACAATTATCCAGGTAACTCGGTTCTCCTCTCTCTCATCGTACTCTCAAATGCTTTCACCTAAAGCGACTGCAGTATTTTTGATAGAATGGTCCAGTGAACCATCACATGAGCCCTCAGCTCTGCCTGGCAGCCTTACTGTTTTTTTTTTTAGTTTGTTCATTCCCCTCCTCACCAATATGGCTACTTCTCTTCTCAACCCTCCTCAAACCACCTTCTTTCCCCTCTCTTACCTGATAATCTTGGTTCCATTTCACCAAGAAAATAGAAGACCTTTTAAAAAAATCTTCCCATGACCAAATCTGTCTACTTAGCCAGAATCTGTACCAGGCTCTTTGCCCTCCATCTTGTTGCCGTGGATAAACTCTTGAATTCCCATCTAAGGGAACTCAAGGGCAAACCTTATTCACTGGATCCCAGTGAAGTTCCCTCTCCCTCTCCCACTTATGGACTTTGCTCCTGCCATGAAAGATCTTACATTTTATATTTTTTTCCATTCTACGGGACCATTTCTATCAGTATATAAACATACACTAATACTGCCCATTACAAAAGCCCTTCCAGTTGCCTGACATCTTCTAGCTACTGCCCCATCATTTTATTCCCAGTTTATAAAAGTCCTGGAAAAAGTTGTTTTTCTTTGCCAGCTCCACCAATATTACCCATCACTACTCTTGAGATCTCTCTCCCCATAGCTATTTCTTCACTGATGCTCCTTCATCAGGATTTGACCGGATTCCCTGTGGTAGGGACCAGATTTTGTCTCCAAGAGGTTTCTCTGTTCTTCCTCCTTTCCTTCCCTTCCTGGTGGTCATTCAAAATCTCCACATTCCCATTACTTAGCCTTAAAATTTTGCTTTTTCTTCCTCAATCCTTTCCTTCTGTATTATGTCTCCTTCCCTCTCTCTCTGGGTATTAGGGGTTGGATTTGAGACTGTCGTATCTCCCCTTTATAAACTCAAATGCCCTATTTTAGGATTTTGTGGAACAAAAGAGCCATCCACTCTGGACTTCCTCTCTTAGCACAAAGTTTTAGATCCACTGTCTTCTTTAACTTGCTACATATTAACTTTAAAATGGGCCTTGCCCTCATCTCGCCTCACAGGTGTAGCAATGGAAAGACAGCAGTAAAAATTTTAGAGCACCTCCTCCTGCTCCAGACATGATCACAAGTTTTACTCCGAAAAAGGAAAATAATTGATACTTTTTATTATCTTCCCTTTGGTTGCAAATACTTTCCAAATTAATTTTATTATTTCAAAATTTAGAAATACATAGAAAAAATTTTAAATTGCTCGTTTTCCCTCAGCTCACTTAACAGAGCTAGGGAGCAGTTAAGGTCAATAACAATTTTCTTTGGCATCTGGTAGGTGGTTACTGGGGAGCTTTCTAATATAGACTTGAGCTCCAAGACCTTTTGCTCAGTCTCTGAGGTCTCTTAATAAAAACTCAAAATTAAGTTTTCTGGTTCTCTCACAAGGTCATTACCTACTTGGATCAACAAAGACATAATCCAGAATTTTTGAAGTCCTATAGTCCAACTTACACCCAATGAAGGAACATATCCAATGGTGGATTATTTACTTAAGTACTTATTTCCAATGACCCATTTCAAGGGTATAACCAGTAGCATATGGGGCCAATTAGAATGGGTAGGGTCCTGGTCTAGGGGCTGGGGTGGGGAGTCAGAGCTTGAAGCCCCCTGATGTATCATATATCAGGCACTCCCCTTCAGTTGTTACACCGTGGGAACACAGGACAAGAGGTCTTATGGGAAGAGCTGGTGGCCTTACGATTGACACTCAGAACTTTTGGGCAACAGCCATCTACAGATTGGTATAAACTTTTCAGTATTATTTCATTGAAGCAATACCTGCTTTCAAGAAGATTTGAGACATCTGAGTGTTGAAAGGACATAACATAAAAACAAACCATCCAGGGGTGCCTGGGTGGCTCAGAGGGAGAGAGAGAGAATCCCATGCAGGCTCTGCCCTGCCAGCATGGAGCCCAAAGCGGGGCTTGAACCTATGAACCATGAGATCATGACCTGAGCCAAAATCAAAAGTTGGACACCTAACTGACTAAGCCACCCAGGCACCCCATGCAGAGCAGACTTTAATCAAGTCCAGCTTATCAATGACTTTTTCATGGATTGTGTCTTTGACATTGAACCTAAAAAAGGCATTACCATACCCAAGATCATACAGATTTGCTTCTGTGTTATCTTCTCGGAGTTTTATAGGTTTTCATTTTACATTTAGGTCTCTGAGCTATTTTAAGTTCAGTCTGTGATGGATATGAGGTCTGTGTCTAGATTAATTTTCTTGCATGTGGATGTTTAGTTATTCTAATACCATTTATAGAAAATGACTGTCTTTGCTCCACTGAATTGCCTTTGCTTCTTTATCAAAGAGCAGTGGACTGTATTTACAGTGGTGTATTTCTGGCCCCTCTAGTTTGTTTCCTTGATTTATTTGGCTATTATTTTGCCACATTCTCTTGATTACTGTAGCTTCATGTCTGTTGTTTGGTAACAGCAGGTGTTCACAATGCCCAAAGTTCCTGAGCCTACCACTCCAATTTTAAACTTCCCTACCTCCTACCCCTTAGGAAGGGGAGCCTGCTCCACAAAGAAGCTCCTAGAATCCAGTAGGTTTGTGGAAGATGGCATTTTGTACCATTTTGCTCATTGGGAGCCATTTCAGGCTGCTAGATAAGCTTGGTTCTCTGAAAAATTAATCAGAGCAGACTTTGGAGCTTAGGCCATAGTACCAAGTCCTCTACTTTAACGGTACTTTCATAGAAAGAAAAATCTGCTATTTTGCCAATCTGGAGAGGCAATTTGGATTAGAGGGTCCCATCCATAGAAACTGCCTAGTTGCAGCACTCTATTTAGCGAGTATGCAGTCCATTTAGTGACATAGCTAGATTCTCTTTACCAAATGTTTTTCTTCTTAGGTCATCAGGTTGCCTGTTATCAAAATTCAGCTATCCCCTCCTAGCCAGTGTGCAGCGATCTCCCTGCTGGCTGATCGTCCAGGAAGTACTTCCCTCCTTCTCCCACAGGCAGCCAGGTAGAGAAAGTGAAATTACGGCCAGAGCCGGTTATCATCCTATATTTTAGCCTGGCTGAATTCGTCTTCCCGTGTTATGTGACTGTAATTAACTAGCAACTGCAGACCCAGTGAACACTCTAAGCTGCCTATGGTCAAGGAGGCCTTCTTTCAAGATGAGGACGTCCCTGGATGTGTTTTCCAAAGCTTTCTTCTCTTGGATTATGGCTGGTTAGGTTTCTAAATGCAAAGGTGTCCATGTTTTAACTCTTCTTTCACACTGTCCGATATATCTGCAAGAGGTTTATAGTGTTCAAGAAAGAATTCTCTCATTTCTAAGACATTGATCAGTCTTTCAATATATAGGGTCTCATTTCTGAGGCCCCAAACTCAATAATAAATATTCATCAGTGAAATTTTCCATCTACCCAGAGGATCATTCTCCATCTTAAATGAAAGATTAAAAAGATGAAAGAAATAGAGAAAGAAAAGAAAACAGCCTGGGATGTGTGCAAGTGTGTGGATGAATGTGTGATGCCTGTGTTTACATGACTGCATGTGTGAAGGAGTGTTTGTGATTGGTGTGCACATGTGTGAGCAAGTTTATCCCTCAAGTGGTAGTGTGTCTATGTTTACATGTGTGTGTGTTGTTTGAGAACATGTGAGTGCATGTGTGTGTGATGTATGTACATGAATGTGTGTGTGAATACGTGATGTATGGGTTCACATGAAAGCGTGTGTGAGTGTGTATGAATGTGCAATGTATGTGTGGACATGAATGTGTGGGCGTGTGAGCTAACTCGTTCTTTCTGTGCAAATGCTGCCTCCTAGTGGCATCCATTACTCTTAAAAGTGCTTGCAAAACATCTGGGAGTGAAAAGAAAGGCAAGTTTCCTTGTGTCAAGCAGGGGGCAAAAGTTTCTGTATGTCTCACCTTTGTTAATTTTATCTTCCCAATGACGCCATAAGGCAGGGAAGGAAACTGAAGCTCAGGGAGGTTACCTAACTTGGTTTACCTGGGCCACAAAGCTGGTAAGTGACATAACCAGTTATCCAAACTTCAGACCTATGCCATTTCTACCATTTAAAAAAATGTTTATTTATTTATTTTGAGAGGGAGAGAGAGAGAGAATCCTGAGTAGTCTCCTCACTGTCAGCGCAGAGCCTGACACAGGCTTGAACTCATGACCACGAGATCATGACCTGAGCCAAAATCAGGAGTCGAACACTCAACTGACTCAGCCACCCAGGTGCCCCTTGTTTCTACATTATTATGCTGCGAGATAAGCTATGAATTTTCCTAGTGGCTTCGCGGAAGTGATTGCGATCTAGAGTTAGAAATTCACAGCCTAGGGAGGTGTGCTGAACTGTTAGTGGAGAGATTTCTGTACAGGTGAGGCTGTGGAGTGCCTTGTAGGTGGCTGCCAGGCTGTATGGAGCAGGCCTGGGCCATATGCGTATTATTGAAGGGGAGAAAAGCCAGTTCCTGTCTGTTGGTAGCTCCAGTATGGATTCCCCAGGAGGGCGGGATATACTCTATTAGAGTATTAAGCCCCAAGGGTAGGGACATCATGGTGAGTGCAACTTAGTTCTGGCAGAAGGATGGAACACAGTATCATCGTGTTAAAGGTAGTAACTTCTTTTTTTTCTTTTTAGTAGTGAAAGAAAAGAGCATACACCTCATGATTCTGTTTTTGCTCTCCTTATATTGAACTCATTTTTGTGTTACAATGTATTCTTTCATGACCTGTAAATAGGAAGTTCTGAATCATTTCCTATCCAATTTAAGGAAATGTACTGCCTGTGGGATTATTTCGATACTTCTAATGTGTTTATATAATAGCAATCATTTTTGGTATTTAGAAATTGCTTTCCATTT